CCCCCTCCCTCCTGGCCTTCAGAAGGATAGTGAAAACATGACTTTGGGATCAAGCCTTTGGACAATAGTGCGGTGCAATAACAGATAAGGAATATGTGCCATGACCATGGAATGGCCTTGGACTACAATTATGTCTGGCATGATCTTTAGTATTGAATGTAATGTTTGAAAATGTTTAATATGTATCAATTTTAATGTTTATTGGAATTCTATGTTGCTCTAAGGCATTGAATAATTGCCTATATGTAAGCTGGGGGTGAAATAGGTTAAATAAATAAATAGGTTAAATAAATAAAATAGGTTAAATAAATAAAAATAAATAAACAACAATAATGATGATGCATTAGTGGCAATCACTTTGAAGACCAAATCTGCCGATGTACCTACCTCGCTCTGTCTTCTGGTAGGGACAGGCTTATCTTGTGTAACCTTATACTAAAGACTCACTAAACTTCACAGCCACACTCACCGTCGGGCTTTCTGTCTCTGTCTTGTCTGTTGAGTGCTGTCACAATCCGATCCCAAATCTGACTCCACACTCGAGGCCAGAGACTGAAACACAGAAAGAAAAGGGCCCAAGCCCTGTAACACTCCAGGTTTACCAACGGCCAAAATAAAACATGTGGCTGGTGGGCTCAAACTCATTAGTATCTTTCTGTTTTCCATAGGAGGGATGGGGAAAGGGGATCCTACAGGTTCCCTGTTTATCCCCAACCCTAATTTTTATGGTCTTTGGCATTCCAAAGAATTATTTTTACTTGACTTTGGGCAAAGCAAAAAAAAGATTAATATATTCTTTCTAGGGACTGTGGTGGTGCAGCAGGTTAAACCACTGAGCTGCAAAGCTTGCTGACCAAAAGGTCGGTAGTTCAGATCTGCAGGATGGGGTAAACTCTTGTTGTTAGCCCCAGCTTCTGCCAACCTAGCAGTTTGAAAACATGCAAATGTGAATAAATCAATAGGTACCACTTTGGCGGGAAGGTAATGGTGCTCCATGCAGTCATGCTGGCCACATGACCTTGGAGGTGTCTATGGACAACACTGGCTCTTCGGCTTATAAATGGAGATGAGCATCACCCCCCAGAGTCTGACTCAACTAGACTTAATATCAAGGGGAAACCTTTACCTAGACATTTCTACATGCTCCAATGCCACTCTATGGCCAATTTCCGATGGAGGTTAACCTTAGAGTGGAGGACCTAGAGATTCCTTCAGAACATACTTCTCTAGGGATGCGTTAGTCGTCCAGTGCACTTCAATGGTCAACCTCCAGCAAACATTGATCACATCATTGTACTGGAGGACCTCCATATTCATAGAGGAGTGTTGTCTTAGATTACATTCATAACTTTTGCCAACTTGACTGCACTCTGATATTGCTTGGCTACAAGTGTTTCCGCTTTCATCTATGAAATGCTTGAGGATATGAGAACAAGAACAAGACATGCTTAAGGATATATAGTTGGAGAGGTGGGAATTGGTGCTTTCAAGTACCTTATAGAAATTATCTAATTCATACACACTGTGTCTTTCATACACTTCCCCGGTCCTAAACTGAAATCCTACCTCACTGTTTATCTTTTTTGGGCTCCCCTCAATCACATAACTTTTATTCCTACCTCATCCAGGGTTTTGTCATTTTACTTTGTCTACTGGCCTGCCCATTCTATTCGATTTTATATTGTGGTAATTTGCTTTATTTATGTTATTTTGTACTGTATGTATTTTATTCTGATGCAAATTATGTTGTCTGTAGTTTGTATTTTATTTTTGCTATATTGTACCTTTGGGCTTGGCCTCATGTTTGCCACCCCGAGTCCTTTATGGTGGTAGGGTATAAATAAAGATTATTATTATTATTATTATTATTATTATTATTATTATTATTTCAGAGAGATAAAAGTCACCTTCTCTAAAAGATTTGCAGTTTCCAGGCATGAGTAACAAAATCATAAACATTTAAAAAATACAAATAATTCCCAAATGCATATGATTAAAAAAAATGTGTCAAGAGCGACTTGAGAAACTCCAAATTGCTTCTGGTGTGAGAAAATTGGCCATCTGCAAGGACGTTGCTCAGGGGATGCCTGGATGTGTTACCATCCTGTGGGAGGCTTCTCTCATGTCCCCACATGGGAAGCTGGAGCTGACAGATGGGAACTCATCGCACTCCCCAGATTCAAACGGCCGATTTTTCAGTCAGTAGCCCTGCCAGCACAAGGGTTTAACCCATTGCACCACTGGGATCTCCAATTTAAAATTATGTACGTACATAAAGTGAACATAAATATACTTTAGTCGATGTATGAAAATGTATACTTGGGGAAAAGTTGGAAAAACAAATACACATTTTGCATCTTTCCAAGCAGAAGTGGATAGGCAAGCCCAAGACTCGCAAACTGATCAGAACAAGATATCATTTCACTGACCCACTTAAATATGAACAAAAAATAAAGGAAAACACGAGAAAGTAGCCAAGGATACCTTTAGTTCTGATAGATCTCAAATTAAAAGAAATATCCATACAAAGGTGGGGATAAAGTGGCACCAGAAACTGCTAGAAAAAGCACTCTAGAATGACAGAAACATCAGTTGGATGTGTAAAATCAAAACTCAACACAACACAGCAATAAATATCACAACCTCCCAACATATTTGCTCTATACACAAGAACCCTAGCCATGGCCACATCTCACTTCATTGACTATTCTCAGACAACATCAACATATGAAGTCAGGGAAATATCTGAATCTTGGCATAACATGGCTGAGAGTAATTTACACACTGCTCAATCTCGCAGTGGGAACAGCTAAACAAACCACTGGCTTGTGGTTGTTTATTATGATATCCAAAGAATAAGGGTGTTTTCCTTTCTCTGGTTTCTTTTTCTTTGGAAAAACCAGAGGGGAAAAAAAGGAAAATCCAAACAAACTTTGGGATTATTGGGAGTGAAATAAACCAGGGAGAAAAAATAGAAATCATTACAAACAACAATTATTTGTAGGTTGTTTAGCTGATCCTTCCATAAGCAGGAGCAATCATATAGGCATCACGGTACTGATAACCCAGGCATGGGCAAACTTCAGTCCTCCAAGTGTTTTGGACTCCTACTCCTACAATTTGGAATTGTGGGAGTTGGAGTCCAAAACACCAGGAGGTCAAACTTTGCCCATCCCTTTGATAACCCATCAACTATAGACTTTATTCCATCAGTGTGTTGTCTTCTTGCAACTGTATTAAGTGGGATACATACCATCATTGGAAAAATCATTTTCATGTCTTGCTACAATTGTGCAATTATAGAACTGTCTTGATACAAATGTCTGCCATTAGCTGTGCTTACTACACCTATTTACCCTCCTCGGCACATGTGCATTGTTCTCCTTTCCACCCCACCATATTTCCCTTCCCTGCCTATATCTGCTCCTTCTTCTGCACCACAACATCGAGACTGCAAGCTTTATCCCAGGTCTTTCTCTATTTGATGACTGGATTGGCCATTCTGCTAGAATAATAGAATCATAGAGTTGGAAGAGACCTCATGGGCCATCCAGTCCAACCCCCTGCCAAGAAGTAGGAAAATCGCGTTCAAAGCACCCCCAACAGATGGCCATCCAGCCTCTGTTTAAAAGCCTCCAGCCTCCACCACACTACGGGGCAGAGAGTTCCACTGCTGAACGGCTCTCACAGTCAGGAAGTTCTTCCTAATGTTCAGATGGAATCTCCTTTCTTGTAGTTTGAAGCCATTGTTCCACATCCTAGTCTCCAGGGCAGCAGAAAACAAGCTTGCTCCCTCCTCCCTATGACTTCCTCTCACATATTTATACATGGCTATCATTCTCCTCTGATTCCACCTGAACATTAGGAAGAACTTCCTGACTGAGAGAGCTGTTCAGCAGTGGAACTCTCTGCCCTGGAGTGTGGTGGAGGCTCCTTCTTTGGAGGCTTTTAAACAGAGGCTGGATGGCCATCTGTCAGGGGTGATTTGAATGCAATATTCCTGCTTCTTGGCAGGGGGTTGGACTGGATGGCCCATGAGGTCTCTTCCAACTCTGATTCTATGATTCTATGATTTTATCTGTATGTCCTCATCCTGCCTCCTCTCAGCCTTCTCTTCTTCAGGCTAACCATGCCCAGCTCTTGAAGCTGCCTCTCATAGGGCTTGTTCTCCAGACCCTTGATCATTTTAGTCACCCTCTTCATCTGGACACATTCCAGCTTGTCAATATCTCCCTTAAATTGTGGTACCCAGAATTGGGCACAGTATTCCAGGTGTGGTCTGACCAAGGCAGAATAGAGGGGTAGCATGACTTCCTTGGATCTAGACACTAGACTCCTATTTATGACTTCCTTGGATCTGCTGGGAAGAATGGCTCCAAAATGTAACTTTTCTAAACTCTAGCTAAGAATAGAAAGCCAGGCTGACTAACTGGACACCCTTCTGTTTTTTGCCTCACAGATTTTCAGAGAACTGAGGAGTTTCTTCTCCCAGGCCCTCTGCCATAACCCTTCCTTGATCATCAGCTTTCTACTTAGCCTTGGGATACATTTTTCGCTGCAGGAAATTCCAGAGATTAAAACCATTGGGAACAAAGACACTAAAATATTTATAAGAGCAAGCTGGAAAAGGAAAGGGAAAAAATAATAATTGGGCTTGTGCTTCTCATGAAAGCCAGAGGGTTGAGGGAGAAGATAATAAGTGATAAAAGGGATGAACTTATGAAGCCAGAAGACAAGAGATCCACTAACTTTATTTGAGCCTCCAAAGAGGCTCTTCAAGTGCTCCTTTGCCGCCGCGACTCTCTCTCTCAGCCGCCGCTCTTTCCGCAGAGACTTTGGAGAGGGCAAACTCCACCCGCTGCCGGTTTTCTCCCCCTCGGTTTCTCTGGTTTGACAAGGCACTCCGTTTTGGTCCAAGCGCCCCTCACTGCGGGAACGCCACACCCCTCCGGGGTCTTGGAGCAAATGGGGAGAGCAGGCCGTCACATCTGGGACCTCCAAGCGGATGCTGGGGGGCCGAGGGGTCTCCCTGTCCTGCTTCTCACGGCTGTCTTCAGGTGCTGACCCATCACAGCTTTGCTGCCGCCGGTGGAGGGTGCTCCGGTGCCAAGGTAGAAAGTCACAGTCAACTAGACAGCCTTCAGAGCCGCACTTCTGTAGGGGGCTCAGCATCTGCATGGAGACAAGAAGAAGAAATGTATCAATTGGGTCACTATGGGGCTGTGTATGGTGTGGACTGAGCATCAAAAGGGGTGACACTGAAATGGGTGCCCATAATTTTTGTGCATATTTCAATAATAATTTTTCTAGAAAATTATTTTCCAGGTAGACATAACCACAACATTTTTAATAAACCCAGATTACATGTAGTGTATACTAGAATCAGAGTAAAAGTCAGAAGAGATTGCATGCACCATCCAGTCCAATCCTGTGCCATGCATAATCAAAGCACCCCAGACTGATATAATGATGATGATGATGATGATGATGATGATGATGATAAATGTAGACTCTGCAAGGAAGTAGATGAAACAATAGATCACATTCTCAGCTGCTGCAAGAAGATCGCGCAGACAGACGACAAGCAGAGGCATAACACAATTGCTCAGATGATCCATTGGAACTTGTGCCACAAATACCATCTGCCTGCCACAAAGAACTGGTGGGATCACAAGCCTGAAAAAGTTACAGAGAATGAACATGTCAAGCTACTCTGGGACTTCCGAATTCAGTCGGACAGTTTTGGAGCACAATACTCCTGACCTCACGATCGTGTTAAAAACAAAGTATGGATTGTCAATGTTGCAATCCCAGGTGACCGCAGGACTGAAGAGAAACAACTGGAAGAGCTGACGTGATATGAGGATTTAAAGATCAAACTGCTGAGTTAGCAACAAGGAATTATTTTGAACTCAATTTACAGTATAGAAATAAGATGAGAACTAAGTAGGGAAACGAAGGGGTAGAAAGAAACTAGGATATCTGAAAAGCAGGTGAAAAAGTAGGATAAGAGAGAATTAATTAGGGTTATCCATACTAGCTGTATCAGTTGAAGGATCTGTAAAGAAGAACCAAAAGGTGGAGTATAGGATTCCTAAGGTTAGGACTATCCAAGGCTCTGCGATTTCAAGATCACAGCCTGAGATCTAGAGAAGACCCCCTTCTGTTGTCAAAGAGGACATTCTCTGGTGATACCATTAAGCGTGATGCAACTGCCCTCATGCACACTTGTACAGAGTATGCCATTCAAATTAAAAAAAAAAGACCAAAAGCACAACAAAGAGTAAGGGAGGAAATGTTAGGAACATTAAAAAATAACTAGATATTTTTAATTACAAAAATGTGAGTCGAGCACTCTCTTTCTTTCTTTCTTTCTTTTTTTTTTTCTTTTTTTTTCTTTTTTTCTTTCTGTGTGTTTTTGTGCATTGGCATATCTTTGTCCCTAACATACCTAGGCAGGGGCGGCTCAATCCATTACGCAAAGTAAGCATTTGCAGTATAGTTGATTTTGCCCAGGGGCGCGCTCTTGGGGGAAAATAGACCTTGACATATGCGAGTTGTAGTTACTGGGATGTATAGTTCACCTACAATCAAAGAGCATTCTGAACTCCACCAGTGATGGAACTGAACCAAATATGGCACACAGAACTCCCACAACGAACAGAAAATATATATCAGTGATTGGTTGGGGGGGCAAAAATACGGTTTGCTTACCGTTGAAAATTACCTAGGGCTGCCTCTGCGAGCACTGAAGGGGTTAAATGGATACAATTACTCAGCAAAAGCTGCCGTTCAATATAAATAGGTGTTTCTCTAGCTTAGTAGCTGTCAGTCTGAGACAGGTCTCAGTGGGAGAAAGGCCTCAGTGTTAGTTTGCCCTCAATCTGAGGTAGCCCTCAGTCTGTGAGAGATCTCTGTGGAAGAAGGGCCTCAGTGTGTTAGTAGACCTCAGTATGAGAAGGCTTTAGTTTGCTTCAATATGAGAGAGATGTCAGTCTGAGAGAGCCCTCAGTGTGTGAAAAGCCCTCAGTGGGAGAAAGGCCTCATTATGAGTAGGCCTGGTGTGAGAAGATTTGGTGAGAGAAGCCCCAGGATAAAGGCCATCGTATGTGAAGGTCCTGTGTGAAGACTGCTGTGTGTATAAAACTACTGTGTGAAACTCCTGTGTAGAGAGCGAAGCTGTTTATCTGCATTAGAAAGAAGCCCAGCAAGGAAGCAAAGAAGGAAGTATAAAGAACTTTGTTTGTGTTATGGAAACCTTGATCTTGTAAATAGTGCAACCATATTATTTTGCTATATTATTTTGCTCCTATGAAAGAGATAATATTGGTCTCTGTGTTTTTGTTCTTTTTATCACTTTTGGCTACTGGTGCTGGGTCACAGTGCTGCTAATAAGTTACTCTGCTGTGCATTTATGAGGAGGGTCTTTTGTTAATAAGCCCACTCACCCAAAAGGAAACACATCCACATATACTTTTAAGGCATTGCTCTCACCCTGAAATTCCTTCTCTTACCCTTAGATCCAGTGAAAGTGGTCTAGCCCCTCAGGCTCAGTATAAAGATCGAGGACCCTTAGGCAACAGGGAGGGAAGCTAGACTGAAATGGAGCTTGCCTGGAAAAAAAGCAATGCTGTCTCTTGTTTTTGTGCCACAAGATTTTCCTGGCAGTGGATATTCTCATCGGTTGAACTTTCCTTGCATCACTGAATGACAGATTGGGGAGAATAACAGAATCATAGAGTTAGAGGAGACCACAGAGGTCATCCAGTCCAACTTTTGAGCTGCCATGACAGGCTGACTCAATCCCAAATGACATTCAGATTTGCAGACAAACGACCTTCGAGATAAAAATAAATAAAAATAGGGACATAATGTTGGGAGAAGGATAGCAGGGAATTGCACCTGGGAAAAGGGCACCTAAAGGTAAATTGTTCAGTATAGTTCCAAAAATAACATCTCGTTTGAACTGAGATTTTTATATATCAAGGACAGAGACACTTTGACTTTCAAATGTTTTGGACAATTTCCACAGTCTCTTATTGTTGGCCATGCTTGATGCGGCCAGTTAAGTGATGCTGGCCAAAATACCTGGAAGAGGAAAACGTCCGTTCTGCTGTTATGAACTAAAAATAATTTCTGCTCAGCTATTCTTCATCTTCCACCATCTCACTGATGAAAACTCGGATTCATCTGACCAGGACACATCGGAGTTGGGTCAAAATGCCAAAAGCTATGAATAATAACATAAGCTAGGAGAGGTTGCAACAGTTTGCTTTTGCCTGGGTCTGTTGGAAAGAACACTATTATACGTGATCTGAGTACAAACTCAGCTGGCCCTC